AGGGGAGGAGGAGAGAGAGAGAGAGAGAGAAACGGTGCTATTGTTTCTTGCGCAGCACGCTTAAAAAAATCACGATACAGGCAAAACTTGATTACAATTTCGACAAACAAACATTCAATTTACGTTAATCATTTAATTTGTTAACCAAACTGCGCTTTGTCTGGCAAGAAAAGTTGACAGATTTATTGGAAAAATCCAAAGTTACTTATTACACAATATCTAATAATATTTCTATGTAATTAATATATACTTTTATAATGAATACTTCCGTCCAGCGTATAAATCGCGTTGCTCCTTTGTAATCGGTACCGTTATGTACTCTAATAGACGGTATGCCATCCATTAATTGTCCATCAATAGGACTTTTGACTCTGACGATAAAAGTTCGTTATATATTATTAAATAAGGTAAATTTGCAATGTACGATGTAAAAAAGTACAAACACAGAGGTACACGATGCCTCTTTCGATTATTTGAAAAAGCTTCGCTTTAAAGTTAAAGAAGAAAATTAGTTGCAAATATCTTGTATAATGACAATAAAAATTTTTCAGCAAAGCGTACGATCAACATGTATGACACAGTGCCGATGCAAATTTGCAATATTTTTTGCAATAAAAGTTTAAAATTACAGTGTCAAAATTATGGTTGTCATTTCTGTCCGTAATTTTTACGTCAAATTATTTGTTGAAAATTTTGATATTAAAATCAAATAAAACCTACGTTAGCGTATTAGGAACTGTATGAAATATTAAAAAGACTTTTCGTAAAACATCCATGCACTGTGTTCAATTGTGTAATAAACTTGGTGTCCATCTGTGTTGTCTTACTAAAAAGACTCGCGATATTTAAATAAGATATATAGAGCAATTTTACCCCAAGTTGAATTGCACATCGTTGTCGACCCATTTTATATTTACAGTCTCGTCTGGTTCCGATGCTCCCTGGTGTCCACAACCGATTGAAAAATCTTGCATATTTTTAAGTGCAGCTTTCAAAGCTTCCATTTTTTCCGGCATTATTTCTACCATTAATCCATCCTCTACAATACTAGATTTGGCAGAGAGTCCCATTGATGATTTTAAAGCGCCATTGATGACGATAAAACTAGCACCGGTCACTGTATCGTAGAAAAATATATAAACGATAGATATTTTCTATATTATCTTTAGAAATTTTATTCCCAAACTCTCACCTGTTCTCGGCTTGTTGTGAATGTTTATCGCTTGCGTTTGATAATTACTTTCATCGCCGGTATTCGTTTGTATGCAAACTAAATGCGAATCCGCGGCTATACTAAAATTTGAAGCATAGGCTAACACGTGATCGTTTGAATTATGAAGTCCTTTTATAACTTGATCATATCGATTCCTAGGGAACATGACATCTGTGGTACGGTTTTTCAGATGAATTGTTAAGCCCTTCACTCCTGGTAAAGTGTATCCAAAGTTTCGGAAATCAGCCAACACTTTCATGACAGTATGACCGATCTCAAAGTACAATGCGTCCCGGAAACGGACGGACACCAGTGGGCAGGGATAATAACGATATTCTGCACCGAGACGTAAAAGAAGTCTTAGCGGAAATACTCTGGCCCAAGGAGTTTCCCACCTTATAAATAAACATAAGCGAAATTACAATAATCATATAAATAGAATCATCCTTTTCTTGGTTGTACCAAGATTACTGGGACACCTTGCACATAATCAAAATTTTTATATACACCAATGATGTTATATTTACCTGTGAATTAAGAGTCCAATTAGAAAAGGTGCAGGTGGTAAAATAATTTTTTGTAAACATTGTAATGTTTGACGAATAAAAAGAAATCCTGTGTGCTCGCGCGAACCCAACAGATTACTACCTTGAAATATTGAGAATCCAAGTTCCGTCATTGTATTACCTGCAAAAAGCACGATAGCAAAAATCCCATAGAGATCGTTCATTGCAATGAAGAATATGTGAGTATGCTGTGTCATCGGACGTCAAGAGTCATATGATTGATATAAAAATATACATGAAATATGTTACCTTTAATAGCTTCGAGATATAATTGATTAATGTATATGAGAAGATCCTTTGGAATCCGTGTTTCATCTGGTAAAACTTCGACTAATAATATAACTTCATCTTGACCAACGCAGGCGAGACCTCTCGATGTTACATTCCAGCAAATTTTGTTTACACAGCAGTTTACTACAAATAACGGATGAGAAAATTGGTGTCCGCGAATAGATTGTGTTTTATCATTTATACTTACAATTAGTTATTTTCACATACGCATAAAGATTTCGATTAATCGCAAACATAACCGGTGGTTCACATTCATTTTGCAACATCTTATAGAGTACGCTCTCATCCATAGATAGATGGTATGTAATTTCTGTTTGTAATAAGAAAAGAAGATAAAGTAGCGAAGATATACATTACTGCGAGTCCTTTATATAGTAACATATAATAACATGAAATCCTTACGGCCTTTATGTATCGTGACAGTCGGGGGCAATAAATTCGGATTATGTGGTATATAACTGTTGGTTGTATTGTCTAGAGGAGGATGACTTTGCCTCCTCGTTGCGGTATCCGTCAATATGGATCCTGATGTGAAAATCCGCTTGTTTCCTTGCTTGCGGTACGGTGGCTTCGGATCCCAACACGTGTCTAGCTCTGTCAGGTCACAGCCAGGCCTTATTCCTGTGTTTTAGTTATAGGTGCGTAAAAATAAAACAAACAGGAAAGGTTGGGGGCTGACTGGTAACACGTTCCAGAGAGGAAGACAACTAATAATTTTGCATATTGGATATATCGGATGAAGGAATAACATTAACTAAAAAAGAAACTAAAAATGCAACAGGATAAACGACCCATGTGTGTATAATTTAGGATAATTGTACATATAAGTGATCTATTACCGCATACAAGGTGTGACCCATTGACCCAACTTAATATCTTAATATTTTAAAATTACATATAGTACATACTAGCGAAAGAAAACGAGAAAGAGAAAATAGAAAAAAATTCTCAATAATATGTGCAATATTTACCTACCATCACTGAACATTACAGATTTCTGTCCTTCTGTACGATGCTTTGAACCCTCTCTCTTCAAAACACCTACAGGTACCATTACCGTTGGTGGTGGCGGTAAGCTGCCGGCTAACTGTTGCAAGGGTGGTATAGTTGAACAGTACTCCATGGGATTATTTGGATTAGGCTGTCTCCCCTATAACCATTTGTTGAATACTTCTAACATTGACACATTTGTTTAATTATGCAGCAAATACGTTTATACTCGAATATATAATACATGCTTATCCTGCTTTTTAACATTTACAATAATGTCAGTGAAAAAATTCTATTGTTTGAAAAGTGATTATATAGAAGAATCAATGCTTCATTAACTGAGATAAATCTATTTAAAAAATAATTAAAACAAAAATGAAAAAGAGAAAAAAATATTAACAAAAAAAGTTGTTTTGCAGCTACTCGCATGCAAATATTTCTTACGTTATGTTACAATCAGACCTCATCGTGGCAGATTTAATTTCGCTATATGTAGCATGCATTTCATTTTGATAAATTATGTGTTTATTAAACCCTATGTGTTTGTTAAACCCTAAGCATACTACATTTTTACAATAGCTTTTCTATAACATGCTTTACTTTTATAATAACATGCATACTCCGCTAAAAACAAAATATTTTCAAAACACAAAAAAAACTATAAAAAATAATACATGCTCTGTTGTAACTCGGTACAAAAGATATGTTGTAAATAGCATTTCACAAAAAGCTTATCAACTGTAGTGAATAAAAATCTATATCTTTCCGCGTTTCAACAAAAAATTTGTTACCTTGGTCGAATTTTCTAAATATTCGATTTTTCGATATTATAAAAATATTCCATAAATTTGTTAGCAATATACGATATATACATTTGAGTAGTCATATCATGCGCATTTTTAAAACTGATATATCGATATGCCGCATTTTTAAATTCGCCGAATCTTCCACTTTTCAAAAAAACATTTTTACTTATTTTATTTGTATGCTACTTAAAAAGGATTTATTTTGTAAATTTTAAATCCCCTCATTTTCTAATCCAATTCCCCACAATAGGGAATAATATTCTAAACGAAAACGTTGTAATATAATACTGTCCTAATATGTATTTGTTAACAGTTCACAATACTGAGATATATTCGGCAAGTTAATTTTTCTGCTTTTGACATACATGAATTGCATGAGTAAAGCATAAAAGTTAAACAGAAGTATTCAACAAATTGTTATAGGTATTTGATTACTTACATTGATATTGGTACAACACTTAAAAAGTTAATATTATTCGATGGATTATCCATTTGTCGGTATAATTATAAAAGTGATTAATATGAATTCCAATAAATTGCTTCTTTTCTTAACTTTTCTCAACACAAGCACATACTTTCAAAGAAGTTCCAAATTTTCTACAGTTATGCTACAAATGTTGACAAAAAAATCAATTTCAAAGCAAATACACACCTGTGAAGAATTGACATCGCTACAGTTGGCATGCGAGTTATATTCAGTTGACCAATCACTTATTCCCTGTTCGCTCTCTGCTGAAAGTGCAAATGCATACATAGTTTTCTATAACAAATTCACTTAGTAATTTATACTATTTAATATATATAATTTAATATAATTTATTTTGTTTAGTAATACTTGGAAAAAAATGCTACTGAGACACGTATCTCCTATCAAGATTTGGTTGAAATTTTTACTCACCTTTTGTGAGTAAATCATAACATGAGACGCAAACACGAGAATCAATGTTTCCCTGATATTCTAATCTAAATTTCATATTGCAACATTTGTTACACAACACCTGTAAAATATGTTATAAATTTAGTTAAACGATCACTATAAAGAACAAACACAATTGAGAAGATTGTAACTCTTGTAAAGAGAAACTAGTTCATAAAATACAACATGACATTGCTTGATATATCAATCGATAAAAGAAATAAAAACAAGATCTCTTTTTTCCTTCTTTCAGTTTCACCTACCTTACCACAAGCACGGCAATGATGACGTCTTTTAAGTACAGTAAATTTGACATCGCATAACATACAACTGGGTGCGTCACTATCCGGAACCCAAAATGGAGGCTGTTTTCCTAATACTGTATTATATTCGATCAAAGAATTATCGGAAACATCTGACGCGGCACCTCGATCTTCGTCAACAATGCCTCCTGTTCCTGACTGTTCTGGTTCTCCAGGTGTAACGCTCAAGGATTCTGTTACAACATTATAGTTCTCTCTCTTTACTTGGTATACCAATATTTCACTTAAATTTCATTATATAATCTCGCACACCAAAACTCAATACACAATGATATAATAGAAATATGATGAATTATACGTAACGTACCGAGCGAATCATTCTTATTATGCGGCGAAACAATATCCAATGTGTGAGGACGAGACAGTTTTCCATCAGCCTCTTGACTGTTTTCATTTGTATGAGAGATTGTACAATCAGCATCAGCAATTTTATATATAATTTCCGTTTTAGAGATCTTATCACTATCATGCGTTCTGTTCTCATGTTGTATGAGAATATCTTTATTATTTTCGGTAATATCTTGACAGTACAACCTCTCGTCGTAATCTTCTTTATTTTCCGATAAATTTTTGACAGCATTGTCATTGTTATCTTGTGATTGTATACCTGTGCTAACATTCTTTTGTAGATTCCTTGTCACATCGATATTGTGGTTATATTGTTCTTCAACATTCTCGAAATTTAATGTGGCTTTCTCTTCAATGGTAATATCCGATAGGGCCTGTAAGATACTCTCTTGTACCACTGCATCTTGATCGGCTACTTTGGTTATATCTTTCTCCCTTATCGTTTTATCTAATTCATTAGTTTGCGTATTTTGTAATTGTTTACCTTTTTCATTTAAAGCTACCTTTAACGTACCGTCACATTGTACATCCATTACATTTTCATTACATGTATTCGCACTATGATAAATTATAGGAGGGTTTTTTATTTTTTCCAGAAATTTCTCTTGTGATATTTTTGGAACTTGATTAATCATAATTTTTTCAAATTTTGACGCGTTGTTAGTATCTTCATGTCGTTGATTCGTGGTCTTTGTTTTATTATCTCCTAATTCATTATGCGGCTTTAGCGACAAAGTATCATCTGAATGTGATATACCTTTCGTTTTACATATTTCTTCTTCTTCCAATTCCAACAAATATCGACTTAGCTCTTCTTCGGAAAAGTCGTCATTGACATCAGTTGTATGTTTCACATGCACATTAGATGAGATGTCGCAGGCTTTCTTTGTTTTTATATTCTCATTGTGATTTTTGCTATTTGTTATATTTATATTTAAACTTATAGTATTTTCCGCTATGCTATCTTTATTTTTTATAAATGTATATTTATCAATGGAACTATGACTCGGCAAATTCAACTGCTTTTGTTTATTAGCAATATTTTCAGAGGGTATTTCAAATCTATCATTATTATCTACAGCCTTTTCATTCATATCCATTTTATTATCAGATGGTTCTGTACTATCAACGACATCATGCTCGAGTCTTGAAACAGTGATATTAGATGTTGGAATTGTAGTGGTATTGCATTTTTCAGACTTTATCATAGTAAAATGTTGCGGCATGACACTTTGCATTGCATTATCCTGTTTGTCCTCAGCATCGATCTTGACAAACATATCTAACTCTGGTAAGATGGTTTTGTAATCCAAGGTATTTTTATCAGTTACATCTAGTTTTTTCTCTTTTGTTGTTGAATGATCAATAGTTGCATTCTTTGTCAATATAAAATCTTGTTCCATTACGGTCACTTTAGTTAAATCATCTTTCTTATCTAATATAGGCTCTACATAATCCAAGCTTCCTGTAGGAGCATTAATATATTCATTCAAACTATTAAACACATTACTGATACTAGGCTTGAAATTTGGTTGGTTTAGTTTCTTATCATATCTATTGCCATCTTTTAAATCACTATTTTCATTTTGTTGCTTCTGCATTAAACTGTACGATATGTCATTATATATGGTTAAAGACATTTGATCGGAATCATGAGTATGAACACATGACTTTTGTTCGATCTTGTTATCACCGACACAATCATGTGCATAGAAATTATTTATGGAATCTTTATTGGAATCTGACATAGATACCAAGTTCTTTTCAGTTAATAAATATTTAGAATCGACATCTATTGGCTGAGTATCTTTGTGTTTTTCGAAAGATGGCATTACATCGATGTCTATACTTTCCTCAGAATTAAAATTGTATGTTTTTAGAGATGCAGACTCAGTAGTATGTTTCTCTGCAGTTGACGTATCAACTGTTGTAGTTGTAGCAACTGATGTGATTTGCTCCGCACAATCTGCAAATGCATATATTATTACAAAAATTAATCAAAGTAAATTTTACTCAAAAATTCATACCTTCGTTGAATTCAAAATCATTGAGGACTTTATCCAAATCAATCACAAACTTTTCCATGATGCCACGATGTCACAATCGCGTTTTGCTGAACAAATTTATCAAGTAGTTCTACACAATTTTCAATAATCGTACATGTGAGTTTATTAACATTAAATAAGATTAATAACCTCCATGATTAAAACCATGAATTTCACTCGACAAATAATGTCAATATAATATCATCGGTAATACTCATGTTTCAACACTAACACATATTTTTTAATACTTTGACGTTTAAATGACACTAGTTTAGCTTATTACGCGTCATTCACGTTTCCATCATTAATAATTGTTGATTATCCTAAACAATTTTCGAGACATGACATTTCTATCTTAAAATCAACATATTTTAGATTTGGAATTATATTGATACATTATTTCAAGCAATTTTAAACGGTGTAACAATTATATCATGTATATCTTCTACTATGTAACAAAAAAACTGACACTACGCGAGAGAATAAGGCATATTAAAATATACGAGGACATTGGTTACGTATAGAAAATACAACAGTTGTGCAACAGTTGAGCAACAATAGCAATGGTTTTATAACCATTATATTTTGTGAATGCAATCATTGATTGGTGTATATTTTTAGATCTACCAATCAAATTTGTTTTCAAGAAATCGATCACTCAATCAGATTGAAACTTGTTAACAAAAATGCCAACATGATGAATGAATTATCTTAAAGTTATATCCAATAAAACATTTTTTTCGGTGTCTAAACCAAATGAATACTGTTGAAAGAGAAGTGGTGCTTTATTTTCTTTTTGTTAAATAATTGCCTTTTGGGCATCGATCATGTAATTTTTCCCTAGGAGCGAAAACGTGAGAAGTGAAAATTTCACGTGAGTTCGACGAATAGAATTGTCGAATTCACATAAGTTTTCATTTTTCACGTTTCCGTTCCTAGAGAAAAATTACATGATCGATACTCTGTAAATGGAAATGGTGTTGTGAAGCGAATTTTCTAGAGACCCTAAGGTGGATCACAAAGGTAAAAACCAATCACATTCGATTGCTACTTAGCCGCTCAGTGAGCGGTTGTAGTACTGGATGCACCCATTGTAGAATGGCCCTTAAGCAATTAGTAAATTGACTAATCACAGAAGAGAATATTCGACTGTGATTGGCCAATTTGTTTATGGCCACAGTCTTACGTATATACATAGTTTATGGTGCTATAATTGTGCATGCGCAAAAACATTCGATTTTATTGAAAACTCTGCTATTACGTTTGATGACCGATCCCTCCAAACCCTAACCTTGTCATTACGATGCATTACGATGCTGTTTTTAGCTTCGCTTATCGGCGAACGATTCGCGCGAGCTGTTTGTGTTGATCGTTACGTACGATCATTCTCTCGAATCGAGATGCAAATTGTGTGCCTGCATTGCAGTTACATTTCGAGGAAAATTCGAAAAAAAACGCACTAAAAGTCGGAAAGTACAAGCGTTAGAAAAGAGGCTTTCGAGTTGGCTTTCGAGTTAACCTTATCATTGCATGTTGCATGGTGTTATGACGTAAAAGATTACGGACTAATAATATGAGCAAGTTGAGATTAGGGTCAGAGTACATCCCGTTAACCGCGGAGGACATGTCGAAGATTCGCGTTGTCGTACCGTTCTCAAAAGTGGCATGGTTCACCGTGGCTCTGCCATTTCTGGCGTTCATTTTTTGTATCGTCTGGTCGATTCTGTATAATTTCGAACATTCCACCTCCACACATTGTCAGGTACAATTATTGATCAAATGTGCAAAGTAATAATGGAAATCAGAACATTCTCACTACTGTATACTTGTGTACAAGTGACAATTTTATGTTAGAATTCTCTTAGAAGAAATCTTATGAGAGAAATTAATAGTATTAATTAAAAGATTTAGCATGCTTTGGAACAATATGAATATTTTTATCTTGTGTAATTTTAGGTGTACAATTTTTTACCATCAGTCTCAGCAGCTATTGGTCATTACAGGCCTCAAAGAGATGTTTGGAAGATTGCCATAGCGGTGCAAGCAATAGTGAGAACTTTAGTATTTCTCATGTATTATCGTTATTATAAGGAACATGTTTACAAATGGGCACAATACTTAAGTAATATTGCACTTGTTATGTATGTCATTGAAAATGTATCTCTTGTGACACTGAGCTTTTGGACTTCCAATGAGAATTATGGTATGTTATAAAATAACATTAGAAAGTATAAATGCTGTATATGATACAATATGAGTAATATACTTATATTTTTTACAGCATTCCATAAAATATCTTTTATATCTTTTCTGATGACATCATTTATACACATGTTCTTAGCATATTATATTAAGAGGAGATATGTGAATGTCATAAAAGATTTTGACGATGCTTCCTTGAAGTGGAAATGGAGATCCATGATGTTGAATGTATCATCTATATTAGTAGCATGTTACTTCTTTTATAGGCATAATAAATATTGTGAACCTTTAGGTAAGACATTAATTAATATTATTAATATATCATTATATTTTTATCTTAAAAAGCTATTATATTATTTCAGTGTATTCAATGTTTGCTTTAAGTGAATATGGAGTTGTACTTTCAAATATGGGATATCATTTAACAGTGGCACTAGATTTTGCTACAACGTATCTCATGATATCAGGAAACAGTTTCAGAATTATTTAAAATCTTTTGAATCATTACTTGTATGATAATCATTATATATACTTGTAAATATTGTATATGGCATTGCCCTTTTTGCTTTTTTTTTTTTATCTCTCAGTCTCTTCTTTCCCCTTTTTCTTCCTTCTTTCTCTACTATGTGTATTTCTCATTTCCATATTATAAAAATTATTTATTAGTTTACACAATAAAATAAATTGGTCATGATGCTTAGAGTGTGAATGCATTGTAGATATTAATATCAAGTAAATTTAATATTTTTATGTCGAAATATATATATTAATTAGGAATTTTAGAAAATGCTGAAACAAAGTAAAATCTTATATTCGATTCTCTTTACTATATTCTCTTATCAAAAATATTTCTTAGATATTTTACAACATTAAATAAAATTTAAATAATTTATAGGTAATTAGATAAGTATGTATATTAAATATTGACAAGTTAAAATTTAAAATCGCGATCAAGTTTATCAACAATGAATTTTGCTATTGCCAAAGAGCTAGTCGCAGCAGGAGATGGTGCGTTTCGACAATGTAATACTCTACTTCCGATTTTACCAGTACCTTCATCGAAAACAAAATCGTCCACTAGTTTGCCGTCTTTATCTAGTGCCTGCGCTCTCACACCTGTCGGTCCTCTGTTAACAAAGTATAATTTATTCATACAAGTTAGAAAAATTTGTAACAAAAACAGACATTATAGTGCAAAAAATACTAGCCTTTTGACATCTTTATATGTAACTTCGGGAATAAATTTCTGAAGATCTTTCATTGCCAAAGGATAGAAAATTGATTTAATCATTTCCATGCAGCCTGGTAGGAAATATCGGAAGCACAATTTGTATAAACCAGGGAACTTCGCCATTTCTATGCAATCCTTTATATTTATATCAAACCAGCTGAAAAAAAAAAAAATAGTTTTAATATTGTCATAAAATTTTTCTTCCAAACACATACTAGATTTCGGTTAGTTCGCCACGAAATAGAACAATTTAACAATAAACGATAAATGAAAAATGCGATATGGAAAAATTAAAATATTTCCTGCATTATTCGTATTTTGAATGTACACTGGTACTTTTCTACAAACAGGATAATGAGAAAAATCAATAGAATAATATATAGAATAAGAAAAATCAATTTAAGTTAATAAAAATACAGAGTTCTGTTTAAAGAAACCGAAAAATAAGGATATATCTTAATATAGAGACGATGGAGTAAATAATTTTATCTGAATGCATCTTTTGCGACATCGTTTATAAGTATTATCCGATATCGCATTTGATTTAAATAAATATAATATTCTTGTAATCATTTACCTGTAGCCTTCTCTGGCAAATGCGAGAACAGCATTAGGCCCTAACCAGATTTCACCATTCATTCTGGGTGTAAAGTGTACACCCAGAAATGGAAATCTAGGATCAGGTACAGGATATATGTTAGTCGTACTAAGATGCCGCTTGTTTTCGTTCAATAATAGGTACTCTCCGCGAAATGGAACTATTCGTGGATTTACGTCACAGCCCGTCATTACTGCCAGGCGATCCGAATGTAGACCGGCGCATGTCAGTACGTGTTTTGCTGGTATGCACTTTACAATAAAAAATTAAAAATTAACCAACTATGGTATGTACAATAAGATACACTTGACAAAGAAAATCTTACTCGATTTTTTGATTGAATTAATATAGGAGCCAGCTGGCTTTGTCCTTTCGATTCCGTCATCTCTGTGAATCCGATCACTTCGAAATTGAGGAAAATTTCACCTCCCATCTTCTGAAAGTCTTCGGCAAAAGCTTTGCACACGACCGCCCAATCTACTATGCCAGTCCACGGTGACCATAAAGCCTTTTCTCCCTAAAAATAAATAAAATTTTATCGATTGTTTACTTTTAACATATTTACTTATTTATTTATATTGTTTGAAAATTATTGCGCATTTTCTATAAATCTTTTACATAGAATGTTAAAATCACAATATCTTCATAGAAGCTAATATTATAGAAGATTTTCTTACAATTTTTAAGAAGAAATTTATTCAAAAACTAATAAAAAATTTGACAGTTCTAAAATATTAATAAGTTTTCTGTACAATTTCTACAAAATTTCTGTTTACTTAAACATGAACTTTCTCTGTTTGCATTATACCTTACACTTGGGTTCGTATTTTGATATGCAATCTTTCTCAACGATTTGAAGATCCGGCACATTGTTTTTCGTGCCTCGATCAAAAAGATCATCTATCCTCTTAACTTGAGCCGGATTCTGAGCGACAATCAATTTACCAATTTTCTTGTGAGGAATGTTATTCTTACAAAAGTAGTCATAAGAGAGTTTTAGACCTTCCACACAGAGTTTTGCCTGTAAGCAATAGGGATCAGCATTATGTGTGTATTGTGTAAATAAAAATTGTTAAAATTAGGACAATGAATATCTGATGAATCTTCTGTATTCATTGAATTTTAATCCTAATTTATATTCTATATTTTTTTCTATTCTAAAAAGTAGCAATAGCATAACAAAAATGTAATATCAAGCAAATAATTTAATTTGTGCTTGTTAGTCACAGCCATTATCTTATCACAGTCTAAATTTGGCAATGCTGATGCGATAAGTTATATCTTCTGTCAGTTTACCTTCATGCTACCTGGTGTATAATAAATGCCTGCGTGCACTACGCCACTGTTATGCCCTGTTTGATGCATAGCTAGAGCGTTTTCCTTCTCCACAATGGCCATTTTTAGATTCGGATGTTTCATAATCATTTCGCGAGCGGTGGCACATCCAACGATGCCACCGCCGACAATCACTAGGTCATATACACTGCATTGATCTGCACTAAGAAATATATTATATAATTATAGCTTTATAGGATATTTCAAATAATGTGCATGGTTTTGAAAGCTTTATTAGGGAACTTTTATTGAATAAAAACGAGCGGTATTTTAGTACGATATATATTACTGTCAAATGTGATTATTTTTAAATTTTTTGGAAATTAACTAAGCATTTATGAAGCAAGATGATTACACGCAAGATGATTACACATTGAAATGTGCAAATTTTACAGGTAGATGGATTAAAATCTTACCTCAAGGTAGATTTACAACGATGCAAGTAATGCAATTGTGGCATAATTCTCTTGGTTAGAAACATCATCATGCTGATTTTCATAATATTGTACGTTTACGTCAAATCTGGGCCATGTGGGTCATTCCTATAAAAATATAATAATCAGTTATGTAATTAGTTTTTTGTCCTTTAACACTAGTATTGCATTAAACAATTGCGTAAAATAAAACTGTCATTTCAATTTAGATGATTAATGTCTAATTTCATGACATTTCTTCTTCTTTTTATTCTTCTTATTATCTCAATAATTTATTATTAATATAATATATTAATATTAAAAATTGTTTTCGAATTATAATGCACAAAAGTACCTCGAAGACCATATCGTTAATAAAACACGGTAAAGCATGATATCTGATAATAACTTAGGCTAGGTGGCACATATTAGCATAAATCAAATAGAATTGATAGAAAGGAAAGTGTTGCCAATCACTGAACTCGCGGAATGACGAAAAAGCATTTGGATTACTTTATCTCTTTTTGCTGTGGAGTAAATATGACCATTTGTAGACAACATTTTCTATTAAAGAAAATTAAGATATTTGAAATATATTTAAAATATACATATGTAAATAGTAGGCATATTAATTAAAAAGTTGTATTGTTTATATTTGCATTAGAAAATTTATATAATATATAAATTTTTTTATGTGTGTAGATAAATTTATAGTGAGAAGTGTTATTATAATTCAAGAAAGCAATGATATTATAATTCTTATAAATGCTATTTAAAATTACGTTTATGAAATACAAAATAAAAGTATAGAATATTTTTCTATAATTTTGCATGTAAATAATTTAGAAAGACTACTTTTTTTAAGATTATCTATTTTTAACATTCACATCTTACATATTTAATTTTAGTTTATCAAATTTTAATTTAGGCAAGAAAAAATCCTTGCCATTGTTAGGGGGCTTTTTGCTCTCTCGTATGATTACGCTCCTGAGTGTGCGTGGCCGCGGTGCGCGGTGGTTCTTTGACACGGTGCCGAGAGTCAGTCAACTCGGTGACGGTCTTCGGGTCGTGTGTTATTCCTGCCAAGTGAGGTTTTTGGCGCTTAGCACGGGCGAAAGCGAGACGAACGCGCGCGTCCGTATATACGTACCTAGGAAAACTATTAGCTAAGGTGTGTCGACTGCCGAAACCAACGATCGATTTATCAGTGGTAATCAATTATCAATTGTAGAATCCAAGCTCAATCATCGCGCGCGAGAGAGAACGCGTTCGACGAGGAGAGACGAAAACGAACTCTCATTCCGAAATGCGAAAAACCCGCAATGCATACAATCGACAGGTGACACGGTTCCGCTGAAACGTAATTTTTTTAGATTTTGCTCGCCATTGCAAAGTGCATTGCGTTTAGAAACGCGATGGATCGTCAACGTGTGCACCGATGAATGAATCGAAGGATTTTTCAACGTAGCATATAAAATTATCGCTCGTGATCCGACTGCGATGAGATTCGCTGAAATCGTAGCGATGAGATTAAAAAACGCATGTGATCTTTGAATCGGATCAATTCAGTCATACAATTGATAGATATTGAGAGATCGAATTCTTGTTTTTCGAACATACTTTTTTTTATACAAGTTTCGGTATTTTATTTATTACGCGTGGATTGAGAACGGAGTCTCGACTGATTTGTGTTCTGTCATAAACATTTTAAAAAGAATTTATACAATCGTACTGCTTTATGTTTAGCTGCGAAAAAGTAAGCGTCGAGAGAATATTGCAGTGAATTCTCTGAAATCGTCGAGCGTCTTTTTTCGGCGGCGAATAATCCGCAAAAAGTACATTAAAGAAAGTGCATTAAAGTGTATGGAATAATCTGAAGTACACCGCCGTCATTCTGTGTACGAATTCTAATGCGGAGCGCGTTCGATCTCAAAGTGATTTTTGAGTGGCGATCGGTGAAAATAGATTCAGAGGAAGCTTGATGTTTGCCATCGTCTGTCATCGTGAAGAAACTATAGATTCGAAGAACGAGGTGATTTGAGCTGCCGCGGCTTGAGCAAATCTACGAAGAACATTTCACAAACTTCAGACCAATCAAAAGACGACAGACCGTTGCCGGTGCATCCGCGATGGAGGACGAACTGCGGTGTCCGAACTGCAAAGAGCTGTTCGTGGAACCGGTGTTGTTGCCGTGCTGGCATGCATTATGTCTAGCATGTGCGGTGAATCTGCAGGCGCCGCCGGACTCGCCACCAGAATCCACTACCGATTCGGCTAATGCACCGGGCTCCGATCAAGAGGCCGATAAGTTGTCGATCCTGTCGGAAACCGATTCCGGCGTTGTGTGCAGCAGTACGTCCACGAGCTCACGGCCCGGCAGCTACGTCGGCACTCCAGGCAATGGCGGCGGCTTTCCGCCGTCCGGCGGCACTCTTTGCCTCTCGTGTCCTGTTTGCCAAAAAACCGTCTACTTTGACGAGGGTGGCGCCCATAATCTACCCAAGTATCGAGCAATGCAGCACATCGTCGAAAAGTATCAGGAATCACGGAACGCGCGACTACGGTGTCAAATGTGCGAAGGGGAGCCACGCGATGCCACCGTTGCGTGCGAGCAATGCGAGGTTACTTTTTATTTTGTATTTTTCCCTTTAGGCATTCTGCAACCTCTAGTTCTTGAGAAATGAGTGAGAAATTTGTATGTTTTTTCTTTCTTATTGCAGGTACTAGTTTGTTGTTTTTCTATGTGTTGTAAGGTTGCCAGAAAACAAAAAAAAAAACACTGGCTTATTTTTGTAAAGTGCAAAGTTTATAGCCTTACGCTTGATGATATAAATGAGAGAGAGAGAGAGAGAGAGGGGGAGAAGAATCAGAGTTTGTTAATCAGAAGTTTGAAAAGTAATGAATGATATAAAACGAGGCACATTGTTGCAGATTTTCCTCAGACTTTTCGGATCAAAACGCAACGGATTAATGCAAGATCAAGTGCTTGACGATTATATTTGCTTGAATAACAATTTTGATGCAAAGTTTAAGATAAAAGAACTAAATATAATTGATTTTAATATTGCGTGCTTAGAGTACACTAAAGTATATTATTTGCTAAAGATATTGCGATAGTGTCAGAAGAACGGAATTTTACTAATCGAAATCAAATACAAAGAAAAATGACATTGCACTAAAAATAGTTTATTTAAATCCTGTATCTATAACACGGACATCTTTTAATTTTATATCGAGCAGATGTGTCGAATAGAAGCGTCGTGAAACACGGTGAAATATTTTCATTTCGTCTCTCGACCCTTCTGGATGGAATGCAATAAAGTACAATTAAAAATAAAATCATTTTGCTGAATATTTAGATTCTCTGCTCCACTTTATCAAACGCAAATATCTTAAGTGTAATGTGCAAATAATTGTACTTAAATATTTATATCATTGTCTCATTATTATTTTCTGTTTTTAAACAGGTCTTAAAAAATTGCATTTTTTAATATTTTGTATTATAATATAATTTTCGATTTGTTTTCTCTTAGTTTGGCGAAGTTGAGAAATAATATTTCTTGATTACGATTATCGATACAAGTTTCGATCCGCGTAATATGTTTGCGCAATACATTTGCCGCGTTGTACACATACACACTTGCAAAAGAAGCGATTTTGTATTGTTCGGCGTTCTGTTTGAAAAGATCGAGTTACTGCGTTTCGGAGTAGCGCATTGCATGAAATATCTCGTTGTGTGACAATATGTACATTCATCTCTCACCTCTCTCTCGCTCGCTTTTCTCTAAAGTGTTAAATTTCATTTGCGGCTCTCTCGTGGCAGCCTCTTTCGTGTACCGCGTTGCGACAAGTGGTGAATATTTTTTTCTATGATTTTACACTCGCTCCGGCTGCGCCATGCCAGTCGTTCCTCGTTTCACGAAAAAGAAATGAGAATCGATAGCGCTTGCAATTTCATTCGTTGTCGGCTTAACATTTTATTGCGCGACAATGTCTTGTTTATTACTATCAAAAGAAATATTATTTTTTATAAGGAAACACGAAAGAAGTAAGAAATTAAGATGGCATTAAACATAATATCGTAGATTTTTTTAGAAAGAAAAAAAAAACTTTTGTTCGGTTAATAATTATTCATATAAATTCAGTATATATATATATATATATATATATATTAATATATTCTAATGTAATCAGTATTTAATAAAAGCATGGTAAAAAAAGAAGAGAAAATATGTTGGGCGCTGAACTATTTGATCGATATTTTTCATAGCAATCACTTTTGTCTTTAGACAATATTTCGTTGTCATGAATATCGATACGTTGTAATTTGTAATATTTTACTATTTCTTTTAGAATTCCCCTAATTTCCCTTATTTTTCTGTCTAGGTTTTATATTGTGACGCCTGCAGAGAGTCCTGTCATCCGAAGAGGGGCCCATTGGCAACTCACAATTTGGGGCCACCGAGAGGCAGCTGGCAATCAAGCGGAAGCAAAGGATCTCGATCCGAATGTACACCGATCTGCACCGATCACAACGGCGAAGCAGTGACTCTCTATTGCGCCTTGTGCAAAATTGCGATATGCACTCTGTGTCTTCGTGATCGTCACGCCGCGCATTCTCATGATGTTCTGCCGTTGGCTGCCGCCTGCAAAGCGCAAAAGGTAAGTGACCATCTCGGCGATTTTCACGAGCGTACGTGACATTTTCACTTTCACGATAAACATTTAAGAAAGACAAAAAAATAATTTTTTTTAGTAATAATAATCCGAAGCAGTAGCGGATCAACAGAGAATCTTTCTAGAATATGAGGGAGATAAAAATAAAAGAGAGGAGAGAACGAATAAGCGTAAGCTTATTAAAAATATAATAATAAAAAAATTAAGTTGAATTATCGTCAGGTAGGCAATCGGTGATGGTGCTATATAACGTTGGATAATGTCGGAGATTGAATCGAAATCTTAAACAATTAACACAGTTAAAATTAAACGTATATCGACTAATGTTGTTTGAAGACATTATTTCGAAGGAAGTAGCCAATCGTCATATTGACAATTATTACTTCTACTTAAATACATCGTCCAATTTTTAATTTTTTTTAATTTCCTGGGCAGTTGCAGGGAAACTCTGGGAATTGCTATAGATTTGACAAAGGAATGATATTCGCCGGCAAAACAAATGCGGCGCAATCATATATGTATATTTGATGATAAACTCCGGTGTAATTTATGTGCCCAGCCGCACGGGCAAAATCCGAAAATAATGGATGATGCGGTGGCGGCTCGTTAACACGACCGATAATTGAGTTTCAATTTACTGGCTAGTACATATACGGCGTTTTGCGTGCATAGTTTTACTACTTGGTCTTCTATTGCATTTTGCATGCCGCAATCTTCTGTGTGCGAATTATCAGCGCGATCAACGATGAAAAATACATTGCGATTGAGCAACACGATATGGCGCACGCATGTGCGCCAACGTTAAAGTATCGCGTGGAATCGGTTTTATACTAATCGATCTTACTGAGCGCATTTGCGCACCTGTCGTTGAAAACAAAGCGTAATTAAAGGTGCGTAAAATATATTACGCAATTGACATAGTTACGTATTAATACTAGATGTCTCAAATTTGCCAAATAAAATAAACCATAGGAAAAAAATTTTCAAAAAATTTAATAAAAGTTTTTGCAATTTTTTAAGATTCTAGATAGTAGTTTCTGAAATAGAAAGACTTAAAGCTGGCCAAGACTACATTTTGATGGCTATCTGTCCGTCAATTGTACGTGTTGATGGTGTTGGTCATTGCGTATTTTATATATTCTTTGGTACTTGATAAAAGAAAGTATTGTCGTCCATTTCTGTACACATTAATTCGTTATTTTCGAGTTTTTATCATTTACCTTTTTGAGAATTCTTTCTCTACAAATTTTAATTTACGAATTTTAGAATTTTCTACATAATCGCGGGGATTACATATAATTATGTGTCATTAAAGATACACGCTTTTAAATTTATACACTAGACGTATTTTTTCTATTTTTGCTTCATTCTATTGTTATTGTTCATAATATCGTTAACAACCTTCTGATATTAACGCAGTACCATCATATTTTTCACACTTTAAAGCACTATTGCATTATTCCATTTTTCTGTTCTCTCATTTTGGCGAGATCATATATTCGTGAAAATTACACACGGATGATGAAAGTGCGGTAGCGAATAAAAATGCAGCAAAATATAATACGCATACGCGCGTAGCGCATAACGACACAATATTTGGAGATCATCCGATTGACAGCTGGTTTTGATATCGCGTGTCCCGCGTGGGTGTACCCGGGTCATTCCCTTTTCGCGCAACATATGTTGCCTCTCTCCCTCCTTTCGCTTGCACCGCGCGTTTAGCTGATCTGAACGCCAACACCTGGTTACTTCCTGACATATGGATTCCACACGCTTTCTCGCCGTATCGATTCTATCGTCCGTCAGGAATCACTTCCTCCCCGATTAATCCAATAAATTGCCCACACGGCCCACAGTCAAAACCGTCTGACTCCAGGAATTCCCTAATTAATTGCCGATAGGCTGGCGGGTGCGCGAACGCGCTCGCTTTTGTTTGTACTCCGCGGTCATTATATCTCGAGACGGCGTGGCCGATAGTTGACCCGAATGATAAGATCGATAGCGTTCGTGCCGTTCAGACTTTGGCGAGAAAATTCTGTATATTACACATATATATGTTCTTTCTATCACCGACATTCTACGATATGCTATTCAATCTATTACGGATAAGTAATTCGGTGTAAATCGCCTCAGGCTTTACATTTGTTCCCCGCTCTTTGTTTCTCGGGTAAACACCTTTAGAAAAACATTATTTGTATTAAAATTTCGAACATACCCAAATAACCGTCCAATGTTTAATCCCGAGATTTTTCTCTTACTTTTTGGTTGAATTTTGAAATGTTTGAACAACTATTTGAATGTCTTGAATACTCGGAACAACTTCTTTCAATTCTGTTCAACTTACAGCTTCTATTCAAAGCTGCTAAATTCTGTTTGGATTTGCTCGTCTTTTGATTGGTCTCTAAATTTATTGTGAGGAAGTCATCCTCATTCAAGGCGCAAAGTAGACGCTCTATTTTTATACAAGTCTTTTACAATTTTAAAAAATTTGGGAAACATTGGCAAACAAAAGTTGGGATGGAAAAAAGGAGCAAAATTTTCACTCGGGATTTATGTAATATTTTCGTTTTTCCATCTTCGAGCAACGAGAAAAACACGGCTACTTTATTAGAATAGAATTGCAAATAATCCGATCATTTCTAAATCACAGTTAAATATTTATAGCGGTTAATCGATACACAATTTACAGCGCCGAAATGGCGTCTTTTGAATAATGCTTCTCGCCGAGGGCGTTTACCGGGCGCGCCGGTCATGAGGGTCGCGATGAAAGTGCGGTCGTGATAAAGTAATTTGCAACAGGCTTGCTTATCAGCGAAGTTGCGAAGATACCGGATTGTCGATCGCAATTTCGAGTGCGGGTCGCATTATGTCAGCCGGGATCAACATCCCGCTGTCGCGCGTTCTGACACGTAATCATCCGCCACTTTGTCTTCTCTATTTCCCACCCTTGTCATGTGTCGTCGCTCGTCATCTCTTCCTGCATGCTTTACGCATCGTGTATTGGCGAATTGCGGACAATTCCCCGGCCATTATTACATATTAATGTTGACGTACGGGCCGATACTCGCGTACTGCACCCGATATTTCGGTAATTAGTCCGTCTTGCCCGTCGGTTAATCAAAGTAATGCCACCTACATGCACGGACTGGCATTCGTGTCCGCAATCACGATAACACAATCTGTTCGGCAAACGTGCGTAAGCAGCGCTTATCAAACTTGAGATGCAAATAATAGCATATAATAGCACCTGATCAAACGCGCAACCGACATTCTTTTAACGCATGCATACGCTAAAAGCTTATTTTCTAGCGCTTGCGATTGCTGTCACGAAATTTATTCAAGCTTCTAGGTGAAGCCAACACTTTAGGCTGTATAATTTATCGATTTTATAGTGATAGATTAAAGTGTGTTACATCGCGTCTTGATATGGGATTTGTACAAAAAAACTGTTTATCACTAAGATAAAGATTGTTCTTACTCTGATGTTGGAAAATTGCTCCTGGTGTTTATTAGCTCTATCGCGTCATGACGATAAAATCACAAATTGTTTAAAAAAATTTCTTGTCTTTTAAACTGCAAACTCTCACAACTCGATAAATTATCTCTCGATAGTCTCATCGATATAATTTTACAAGCCTGCGTTATTCTTTTAGCCTAGGCCTTTGCTTTTCTTTTTTTTCTTTGTGCTTCCTTTTTCTAGTTTCGAGTCTGACTCTTCTTTGATTTCTTTTTCACCGATTTACTTTTGCATACTTTGGCTTTCTCTACTTTTCCCCTCAATATTCGGCGTATTGGAGGGATTTCGCTGATCTGGCAGTTCAGATTTTAACGATCTACTTTATCTAATTTATTATTTATCTATCTATTCTGTTTCCTGATATTTTCTTAATAACAATAATAATGTTAAGGCGTTAACAACTCAAGATATGTAGAAAATAATTACATTTTATCTAATTTTATCTTGTGAAACAAAGATATTGTTCTTACATTGAAATAGTTTAGTTTGTGCTGGTTTTGGCAAAACAAAAATGTTGAAGAATAGCCTGTTTTGCAATTCTTTTGAGAACTCTGGGGAGCAAATTCTTTTATATTTGAAAAACTGCTCGTGTGCAATCAAATATTACATTCGCATATTTCATGAATCTTGCATAAGTTTGCGTAAATATGCATAAATGTGCACTTAATGATTCCACGGTCTAAGTCTACGGTAATGTATTACAAGATTCGATTACTTAGAAGTTCACGGCAAATAGACAAGGGTTGACCCTGATCCTCTGCGTCAAGTTTGCTCGCGCGGAATCGATTGTTTGCACAGGATATATCCCGCCGTCCCACAGACATCGTCATGCATCCTTCGTAATCTTTAATTTTGAAACTGCTGCAATATACGTATTTTGTGTGTGCGTGGATTCAGCGTTGTTGCGAAAATAACTTTTTCAACGATGAGGAGAGTTTTTGTTGAGAAATTGTTGCATGCAATAACGAAAGAAGAATGGTAGGCTATAATTTTTGCGACTGCTATAATTTTTTACTAGATGTATAAAAATTTATAAAATGTAAGAAATGTTTTTGTTTTGCAAGATTTGTGCTGTAAAATTCTGTAAAATAATTGTAACGAAGATTGAATTTAAATCGTTGTTTATTTCTGTGAGTAGACTGATTGCGTTTCATTTCTTGGAGCAAGTACTGTATGTCTGTATGTTTTCGAGTTCCTTCTCTTAACACTGTTGTGCATAGCGTCTATTGATTAACAGTCGAATCTCGTATAGCCTTCTCGCGTCGTAGACCGTCGAGGAGCGTTCTCGCGGCAGTTGCGATTTGCTCTCTTCGCTCTCGTCGCAGCGGGAGGGCAAGCAAGCAGGTAAAAGCGACGCCGGAAGCCGATGGAAAGGAGAAAATCTCTGTCAAAAAATCAAGCTATGGTAAGGTAAAGTACGCGACGCGACGTTCGCAATTTCCTGGCTGAACGAGAAATGCCGCATTGG